AAGAGATCTACATTTGGCATAGTGTTTATCAAAAATACCAAAAACATTGTTGTCTTTCTGAGGTCTGCTTTCTTAGCATATTTTATTCTTTCATGGAAATTATAGACTCTCGTGTGTGTGTTTTTAAAATTTTGGGCTCTTTCATATATCTTTTCTATATGTATATATTTCCAGATAGTTTACATGAGGGAAATTGTGCATGAGATACAGTTGTAGAGCAACAAGCATAATGTAAAGGTCTTTAAATCATTATGGCAAAACCCTAACTTTAGATTCCTAAGTCATCCTTAAAGAATTCAAGTATCTGTTACCCTGTAACTTCTTAAAAACCTTTTTTTTTTTCATTTATTTTTATTAGTTGGAGGCTAATTACTTTACAGTATTGTAGTGGTTTTTGCCATACATTGACATGAATCAGCCATGGATTTACATGTGTTCCTCATCCCGATCCCCCCTCCCGCCTCCCTCCCCATCCCATCCCTCTGTTAAAAACCTTAAAAAGAGCTGTAGTCTTAGTTTTGTTTTGTTTTTAAAGATTCTGTTCATTTGTAAAACGGCCAACTTTTGTTTAACTTTTGAGGGAGGGAAATTCAGAATTTAATACTAAGATGAATTTAGCGCTGTTTATCAGCATTACATAGTTACTGAACTGAATAATTGGAAGTCTGGAGACCTGGATTTTAATCCAAAGGCTTAGACTCTTAACCAAGGGCAATTGCTTGGCCTTGTTGGGTCTGTTTCCCCATCTGTTAAAGGATGGGATAAAATAAATTCTTGCAGTTCATTTTTATATTAATTCTGTAAAACACAGGTTTTTCATGAATTTGAGTATTTGCTAATGTTTTTTTGCCTTAAATCAGTTATTTCTAAATGTGTGCCACTTCATTTTGCATAAGAGGACTTTTATTATGGTTTATTTTAATTACATCATTTTGGCTTTAGTTTAGATTCTGTGAAGACAAACAAGATTATGATATACAGAGGATATATTATGATATTGCCAGAGGAACTGCCTATCTCAGTCAGAGGCATTCTTATATATTGTTGCAGATCTTGTTATGTGAAGTGTTTACATGTAGACTTTGAATCCTGAAGAAAACTGTAGCCCGAGAATATTGCTTAATGGGAAGTATCAGCAAGATAAGAACCGTAGAGTGTAATCAGATTTCTGGATGGCGGTCAAGCTGTGGGGTATTGGGAATTATTTTGCTGGTGATCTGTCTTTGCATTTAGTACTTTTTTTGCATTTAGTAGTTTTCAGAAATTACTTTAAAATTTCATCCTTCCATCCAAATCAGCCAAGATAAAGGTTCAGTTTAAAATAACTTTCTGGAGGTCTTTTTTATAAAATGTATTTGCATCTCTGTGTAATAATTTTGCTTTTGAACAGCATTTCTGCCTATGTGCAATAAGGAAGTGTCTCCTTTTATTGTGAGAGGTTCCTGGAAACTTCTTAAAAATTCCATTCAGTGTCATGTCCATTTAGGTTTCATTGTTTTTAGGTGGCACTTTGTGCACTGATAATTCAGTTTATTAAATAAACATTGAACTCCTGCTACGCGGAAGGCACCTTAGGGGAAGAGAGAATAAGACTCAAGTTCACAAGACTATAGTTCAGTGGGGGTGGGGGAGAGTTAAGCTATAACTAATAAAAGTAGTTATTGGTTTGTTAAGGAGTTTGAGCAGATGTTTGTATTTGCAAGGAGTGAGGTGAGTCACAGGAGGGCATATCTGGCTAGAGATTCAGAGCAGCTTCTTGGGGGTAAATGACATTTCAGCTGGCCTGAAGAATTAGGAGAATTTTACAGATGTGGGGCTGGGGAGGTAACAAAGGTTGAAAGTCAGAGTCACTTCAGGTGTTTTGGGGGCAATATAAAGCAATCAGATTTGCTGGGTAGATAAGTATAGAGAAATTGGAAGATTCAGTTATGTTATGAACATAAATTATTTCTACCTACCAAGTGTGGAAGCATAACATGGAATGTTAATGGGGATCTGCATAGTTTGTTCCTAATACTGTAGATTTTTGTAAGCATTTTGGGAGCCATTGAAGAGGTTAAAGTTGGAATGTGCCAGGCTTACAGATGTACCCAAGGAAGATCCGTCTGTAGTGATACACGCTAAAAGGGGCAGAAGACCCATCAGAGGGTAGTTGTAATATTATAAAGAAGACTATTGCTTGAAACAATGGGGACAGTGGACAAAGGGAAATAGATTCAGGGGGACATTGCTGTAGATGAGTCAAAGGTTTGCATTCTGATAGGGCTGGTGGTGGTAATGCCAGAGAGCAGAGACCATGTCTGGGTGACTGGGCAGCTACTGATGATGTTATTAGAAAGAAAACAGCAACAAGAAGGGCTGTTTTATTTTGGTTGGTGTTGGTGGTGATTTTTTAAAATTATATGAGCAGCTTTATAGCAGTTGTGATTTTAAATCACCCATTGTCCCATCAACCTTACATATTTACTGTTCTCCTTTAGGCTTTGTCCCTAAGTACGTATAAGTTTTACACTTTAGTACTGTTTCTTTTTTTTAACTTGATGCAATATAAGTGTTTGAGAGCTTTTTTGAAAGATAAGCTACCAAGTTTTAGATTTGTTCCTTTTCAGATGCTTACAGAACTTCAAAGTGGGATTAGATGTTTGAATAAACTCAAAATGTTGGGAACCAAATGCTGATCCTTTTTTTTTTTACTTAAAATTTTATCTTTTGTTCATCATGGAAGTTTCGCATTAATGTTAAAATTTTTAAGGTATTCCATTAAGTTGTAATTAATTTTAGTTACTGGGGTTTTTGCAACGCATAGCCTCCTGCCCCCAGTTTTGCCTCATTCATCTCACCCTGGTCCTGTTGCTGGAGTTTTGAAGTCCCGTAAAGAACCAGAGAGAGGGCTGAGGCAGAAACGCTGAGGAGTAGTCTCCATTTAGAGGTGGAAAGAGGAAAAAGATTCAGTGCAGAGTGAGAAGAGGCCATTCAAGGAGTAGATCGGGAATTGACCCAGGAGAAGATAATTCAAGCAGTCTGGGATGAGGGTGGGATTTTGAGAAGAAAGGTCTCTGACCTGTCGTGGTCTTTCCGCAGACCTTTATCTGTTCAGTGTCTGTTCTCTGCTTGGGCTTCCCTTGTGGCTCAGCTGGTTAAAAAAAAGGTCTTCCTGCAATGCTGGAAACCTGGGTTGGGAAGGTCCCCTGGAGAAGGGAAAGGCTACCCACTCCCGTATTCTGGCCTGGAGAATTCCATGGACCGTATAGTCCATGGAATCGCAGAGTCGGCCGTGACTGTGTGCCTTTCCCTTTTCTGTGCTCGGCACTGTGCTAGCCTCTTGTAGGCGCCACAGTAAGAGCCTGCCCACGGGGCGTGTCTGACCTCCCCCGTCATGAACACCCTCCCCTACATCTTTAAGCGCTTTTACAGTGACCCCACCTAAATGGTCTGTCATCAGCTGTCTAAAACTGGTCTTTTCCTTCAAACCAGTTCTTTGTAGAATTTCCCTACTTTTTAAGAATATTATCAATTTCTGTTTCCCAGGATTAAAGCCGTGGAATTTTCTCTGTTCAAGTCATGTTCTTTATTCTCTCAGCTCTTCTTTTACAATGAATTCTTTTTCACCGCTTTATCAAATTATGTGTGGACTACTGCAGTAGTCTGCTGCCAGTCCTTATCTATACTGTTGCCAGGTTGGTTTTCCTGAAGATGAATATTTCTGCATGTTTATACATTGCCCAGAAAGGGTTGGTTACCCATTGGGTAGGCAGAATGAAGTAAAAATTAGGCCCATTCCCTTGCTCCTTTTCTCAAATCATTTGACTTGATTTCTCAAATCAAAAGTAGTAGTTGTCTGTCATTTGAGCATTCAGTGCTTTTTTTCTTCACGATCTATCTTCTGTTTTTTTTTCTCTTAACTTTCTGAGGTCAGCCCAACTTAAGTCTTGCTTGTTTTACAAAGACTTTTCTTAACCAAAGAGACTGCTTTTATTTTTGAACTACTGATAGACACATACTCAACCAAGTTGGCATTATACAGCATATTCAGCAGATTCTGTGTTAACTGTATATATATATTTATTTATTATGTTCTCTCTCCCAGTTAATCTTTGAGCTGTTTTGTTAAAGACAGAGCTGACTGAGTACAGAGAAGGAGCCCTTGATAAAGGTCTAAGAGGCAATGGCCACTAGAAAGCTGGCCTCTCTGAAAATAGCCAAATTGTTTTTTATTAGAGCTTGCTATATTAAGTTTGTTAATAGTTCCTTCATCTTTCTCAGTGATCTGATAGTAACTGTAGTTTTTACTTTTATGTGCATGGTTGGAGGATCAGAAAGACTTTTATGCAGTATATTTTCATGCTTTACTTGAATTTACTAAATTTTGATTTCTGTACTTTTGTCTGTTTTCTTTGTTATTGAGTCGCTAAGTTGTGTCTGATTCTTTTGCGACCCCATGGACTGTAGCCTGCCAGGCTCTCAGCCCCTTCTGTTTTTCTCCTTTTTACATAATTCATATTATTCTTACTGTTAAAAAAAAACTAATCAAATTGAGGTAACAGTATTGCATGCACAGAGTGAATCTGTAAGGAAAGTAGTCTGGGAGAGAGGAAGATAGAAACTTTGGACCACTGCTGCAGTTTCTAAATGCTCTGACAAGTCCCCTAAGGGTCTTTCTGAGACCTGGGTCTTAGTTTCTTAACCTGTAAATGAAGATGTCAAGTGAATGGTCTCTTAAAATTTCTTTATAGGTCTGAATTTCTCTCATATTCATATTGACACAGAATTGCTACTCCTGTCCTTTTTTTGACTTTAGTCCGAGGCCAGACTCTTAAAATAACAGAGTTTTGTTGTCATGTTTTCCTTTTAGATTCTTGTTTAGGATTAGTCATCATTGCTTCATTTGGAATTTTTTTCAGTTCTAGATCTAGTGTTGTTTTCATAACAAGCATCCATTAATTATTGATGAGGATAAATTAACCTAGTTGACATTTACTTTTTTTTATTTTCTTTTTAAGGTATTTTCAAAAGAAATAATTCCAGATTGATGGATGAAATTTTAAAACAACAGCAAGAACTTCTGGGCTTAGATTGTTCCAAATACTCACCAGAGTTTGCAAATAGTAATGACAAAGATGATCAAGGTAAGCATGAGTGTAAAATTGAATATTTAATATATGTGGATAATGTTTTTTGTGTTTCAAGGCATATTCTGTTACTCCTTTATCTATTCATTTTGCCCTAGTGTTTATTATCACTACCTTTAATCATCAGAGTTAGAGTTTTCTTTCTTCATCTGGTTAAAAGATAATTTTCAGAAAAAGAAAACAATGACTCTCATGCATATTAAAATATAAACACAAGTTAAAGATTTTATTTAACTGAAACAACCAGGAATCAGTAGATTTTATAGCCTGTTCAAAGAGAATCCAAAGAGTGGACACACTTATAGATCAAAAATATTAAAATAAATATGTGATTAGAGACAAAACTTATTTTTCTGTAGGATTAGAATGAACATAATTGAACCTCTACCAGCCAGAATTGTATGTCTGTAAACAAGAATTAGGCAGAGCTATTAGTTATGTAGAATCCTATGAATTGTAAAACAGCTCCATAGAATAAGAATTTGGTAAGGTAGATCCGTGTGCTATAGACAGTTCATTTCCACTGAAGCAGTTTTTTTTTCTTCCTACAGCCTTCATTTTTGTCTTCTATCTGTGTTATTGCTAACTATACTGTAATTGTAGATGGCATTTTGGGTGAGCAGAAATTGTAAGTTAGCCTATAACTAAGAAGCAGAGACCTTACTTTGTCAACAAAGGTCCATCTTGTCAAGGCTATGGTTTTTCCAGTAGTCATGTATGGATGTGAGAGTTGTACTATAAAGAAAGCTGAGTGCTGAAGAATTGATGCTTTTGAACTGTGGTGTTGGAGAAGACTTGAGAGTCCCTTGGACAGCAAGGAGATCCAACCAGTCTGTCCTAAAGGTGATCAGTCCTGGATGTTCATTGGAAGGACTGATGTTGAAGCTGAGGCTCCAATACTTTGGTCACCTCATGCGAAGAGCAGACTCATTTGAAAAGACCCTGATGCTGGGAAAGATTGAAAGCAGGAGGAGAAGGGGACGACAGAGGATGAGATGGTTGGATGGCATCACCAACTCAATGGACAGAGGTTTGGTGAACTCCAGGAGTTGGTGATAGACAGGGAGGCCTGGCGTGCTGCGGTTCATGGGGTCGCGAAGCATCGGACACGACTGAGCGACTGAACTGAACTGAACTATAACTAAAATTTCTGTTTTCTAGAGGATTTATTCATAGATACAAGGTCATTTTGAGCACTTTGATAAGAAGACTGCGTGTAAATACATAGACAAATGTTATGTACAGGTTCTTTCAGAGCAGAGTAGCTAGGTATGCTTTGATGTTAAAATTGAAGGGCGTAAAAGATTCTTGTTTACTGTAAGAACTGTACTTTTTCTTGAAACTGACTTTGAAATCTGTTTGGAAGAGGGTGTTTTCTTTAAATATCTTATTTTTTCTTCTAGTCTTAAATTGCCAGTCGGCAGTGAAGGTGCTGTCCCCAGAAGATGGAAAAGCAGATATTGTAAGAGCTGCTCAGGACTTCTGCCAGTTAGTAGCCCAGCAGCGGAAGAGACCCGCAGACTTGGATGTGGACATGTTAGACCGTTTACTTAGTAAGTCGTACGTGTCTGTTTTTAGTTTTGTCTCGCCAGGACGCCGTATGAAGGAGAATATCTGTCTCATTTTTACCATAAAGCCTGATTTTGTTGTTTCTGTTGTACCTGTTATGTTTCTAAAGTTTAGAGACCCACATATGAAGATAGTTTTGAGATAATGAAATTTGTAGTCAACTCATTCGCTTTCAGAATTATTGGTAAAGGAGAGGATCTAAAAGGATTTGAGGGGCAGTCCTTAAAAATAGAACTTCTACTTCTGCCTCCTTCTTTTCAAATTTATTTTGCCTTATTTTATTTTATCTTTCAGTTTTATTGAAATAAAATGACATACAACTTTCCTCTTTCTTCTTAGTTTGAACTCTCTGTTAAGTTTGAATATTAAGTTTGAACTCAGCAGCTATTTAGGAAACAGTCCTGGGGATATAATACTACTATCATCTGTGACTCCTTTTTTAGTATTCCTTCTATTCTATTATACCAACTATACCACTGATTTTGTCATGTTATACCACATGTAACTTTATATTTTATCTATTTTTCCTTCAATTGCTTATAAAAGCGTTTAGTTTGTTTATTCTTTCCGGAGTTCCCTAGCAACTTTTTGCCTTAACATTATGGTCTTTCTGCTTACTAGCCTTATCCTTAACCCTTTTGAAGAAAGGCAATAATTTTAATAAATTCATGCCCATTGTTAGCTTTTATAGCCATATAATTTCAGATTTATTTTTCATTCATTCAGATAAATTCTCCATTTACCTTGTGACCAGAAAGTTAGTGGCTGAACTGAGGTTTTAGAAACTCTTAGAACCTGGGTCCCTTGGGTTATAGCATCTTTTCTGCTACATCATTGATTCTTTATATTAAGATTTATTTTAAAATTTATTTTTTAGTAGTTGAAATATTTTTTTCCCCTTTTTCTCTCAAGCCATATCTCATATGGAAACCAGCTTGCAGAGCAAAGAATGGCCAGATCTTGGTTGAGGCAGGTGTATAGTCTCCTCTTCCCCTCTTGAGAAGCTTGGGCTCTAGGGAATACTGAGACCATTTGTACTGTATAGCTAGGAGTTGGCCTTGCTCTGTAAAATCAGCACATTGGAAGGGAAGGAGAATAGACAACTTAAAAGTCGCTTTTCTTCCCTGAAGTTACTTGGTTCTGTGGCCAGAATAAGTATTTGAGTCCTTAAGGCAGTGCGGGTATCAGGATGCCAAGAGAGCACAAGTTGAGTCTTGAAAGATAGATGGGATTTGGGGACTACCTGTAGAGTGGGTGGGAGTTTGGATACCCCTCCTTGTCAGGTAATCAGTCCAGTTAAACAGCCTTTAGAGAAAATTTCCACATTTGGAAATAACAGATATAAAAATATATGTTTTGCCAAGAAATTGAGGTATGGAACATGTGAATAAAGTTTCTGAAGAGAACAGATACATGAAAACATAAGAAACCGATCTTGGTAAAGGCGCGGAGAAGGGATGGTGGGAGGAGGAACCCGGGAGGGAATTCCTGTAGGAGGTTCGCGATCCTGCCGTGGAGGAGGAGCGTGGGAATGTAGCGCCACCTCGCCCGGCAGAAAGGGCTTGAAAACCTCGTCTTGGTAAAGAGACCCCTGAGCGTGGATTTTGCCTCTGCCCACGGAGAGCCCCGTACCAAGGTGGCTCTTGTATTCGGCTGGATCGTGGCGGGGAGAGCAAGCGCCCCCTTGGGCCGGGGGTTGCTGCCGGGCTTGACCTACAGCCAGAGCCGGTGCCGAATTGGGGCGAGGAGTGGCCCGGGGCGCCTGTCTCCACACGCCTACCTTCGGGTGGAGTTTGAGCCTTGGCGCGGGCTCCATTCCCCGAAAGAAGGCTTGATCGGGGTGTAGGGCACAGGGTGTACCAGCCCTTTGGACTTCCTGTATGCCGGAGGTTGGTCCCAGTCTAGCCTGCTGCTCATTTCCTGAGCAGAGCTAAGGTGCTGTCTTTTCCAGTCCTTTTCCTTGTCCTCCCACCCGTCCACTTCCAAGTTTTAGATAATTAGAATCACGATGCCGTGCCTCTTCTCAAAGGAGTTGGGTTGCACAGGATGTTCAGACTGCAAAACTAAAGCAGTGAATCCTCAGGGGAGACATTTCAGACCAGTGGGGAGATGTTTATAGGGGTAAGGGAAAAGAGGATATCATAGAGTAGGAGTAGATGGGCTTTCCACAGAATCAGACAGAGGCCCGCTTGGCACTCACTGCTAGGATTATAGGTGCAGCCAGTCTGGCTTCAGATCTTTGTGACTCTGAGAGCTTGGGGAGGGACTCACTGCTCCAGGAAGTCAGGTCAAAGGCTCTTGAGATTCAGATCCACCCCCTAGTAGCCAGTTACCTCAGATCATTGGAGAAATAAAACCTGATCAGAACATGTGGAAGAAAGCAGAGTCATTATTTTGCCAGGACTCCAGATTGAATTATTTACATATATTTCAGGATCTAAACTTTGCTTCCGGAATTGTTATGGAGGAGTGAATAGAAATTGAGAGCTGAAGGCTGGGTAGTCAAAGTTCTTAGCCTTATTTAGTCATAAGCCCCTTAAACAAAAAAAAAAAAAAGAAAGAAAACATAAGAAACCAATTTGATGAACAGATTTATCATTTTTTGGTAAGCAATGTATGTTAATTTCCTGTGTCTTTTTTTTTTTCCAAGGTTCGAATGGTTTCCCTGACCCTGATTTAGTATTGAAGTTTGGTCCTGTGGACAGCACACTAGGCTTTCTTCCCTGGCACATCAGGTTGACTGAGATTATGTAAGTAGTTAAAAGTGTACTGACTTTGGTTTGGTCCGGCAAGTGTTTCTTGAACCCAGCACCATACTGGATGTCGTGGGAATTCCCAAAGAATTATTGTAATGCTGGATCCTTTCCCTCAGGTGTTTGACGGTATCAGTGGTAAAATAAAAACCTATATAAATGACTCAGACACAAGAGTTTTTGTGGTTGTGCAGATATTTGGTATTAAAACTAATCATCAAAATAAATAAATAAAATAAAACTAATCATCATAGAAGATCAGGAGTGATCTCTGTGGGCCAGAGCTGTTGTTTCTATAGAAAAGATGTAAGTTGAGCCAAGGTGTGTGAAGGGCGTAGAATTTTTGTAATCAGAGAAAATGTAGAAAGTGTAGGGAGTGAGCTGCAGGGAACAAAAAAACCAAGGGGCAAGTTATGAGCATCACGTTAGAAGGAAATAGGTAACTGGCCACACCAGTGCAGAGACTTAGTGTTAGATTCTAGTAGTATACGGTGAAATCAAATAGGTTGGGACTGTTGACATTGAGAATGCTTTAAATATAAGCATAAAGAGTGTGTGTAGTTGGTAGAAAGGCAGTAGGAAATCAATGGGAATGGTGATTTTGGAAGATTTGTTTCACAGCTATGTTTTAGAGTAGATTGGGTCTGGGTAAGAATGAGCTAAAATGACAACTGAAGAGGCCATACCTGTAATTTATGAGAGAGTACATGGATGAGAATGAAACTGCTCATTTAATTTAGAACAGAGTTTGGCAAACTTTTTGAATAAAGGGCTAGAGGCTAAATATTTTAGATCTTGGAAGCTTCGTCTCTTTCAGAACTGCTGTCTCTGTTGCAACTAAACACAGGCTAGTATAGCTAAACAAGCGTGGACGATTATGTCAACAAATGTGTGTGACTATGATCTCATAAAGCCTTGTTTGTAGAAATAGGTGGCAACCTCCTGGACTGTAATTGCAGACCCCTGATTTAAAATAAAGGAGAAGGGCAGCTCGGTGAGGAATACCAGAAAATTAAGGAATAACCCAATGGGACTTCCCTGGTGGTCCAGTGGCTAAGCCTCCAAGCTCAGTGCAGGAGGCCCAGGTTCATTTCGTGGTCAGGAAACTAGATTCCCAGGTGCCACAACTAAGGATTCTGCATGCCACAACGAAGTTCTCACATGCAGATCTCACATGCTGCAACTAAGACGCCAGCACAGCCAAAATAAATAAAAATAAATATTAAAAAAGAACCAAATATCCATCAGTAGAATAGTTAAACTATGGTGCACACATACAGTGAGATATATGTAACACTTAAACTGAATAAACCGGATGTAGAAGCTGCATGTATCTACTGAATAAACCTTCAAAAACATGGCTGAGTGAAAGAAACAAGTTTGCAAAATAATATGCACTGTTTGATACATTTAAAAGCTATACTTACTTCATGAAAGTGGATGCTTGGGTATAAAAGGAGGAGAGAAGATGAGATGCTTAACCTCCTTCTTACCTCCATCTGGGGCAGATCGTGCTCCGGCTGCTGTCCCATGCCGCTTTTGTGGAATATTTATAGAAGGGAAAACTGGATAAAAATGAAAATGAACAAATTTTAAAAATATGCATCAACAGGTGAATCTCACAAACATAATACTGATTGAAAAAAAGCCCAGATATAAATAAAAGAATACACACTGTGGAATACTGTTGATAGAATTTGCTGCATGAAAAGCACATGTGGAAACCAAAAAAGAAAAAAAAAGGAGAAACTTAGGAGGCATATATTTTAATTCTGGGTCCTAGGAGGAATATACTATGAATTCTTTTATTCATGAGAACTAGTTACCAAGTATACTTGCAGGCCTAGCACTTTACTAATTGCAGTAAAAACTAGGGTAGAAATGAAATGACTCCTGAGTTTTTAAGCCTAAGTGACTGGATAAATTACAGTGTTTTTGAGACAAATGGGAAAGTCAAGGAACCATTCATTTTGAAGGGAACAGGTTGAATTCAAGAATAAGAAGATTTTGAGGCCATGGTCTGTTTAGACTTAAGAGGGCAGTTAAAGATGTAAGATTGGTGTTTGGACGAAAAGTCACAGGTAAGGGTGGATCTTTGGGACTTATCAGTACCTAGGAAGTGTAGAATGTAAACCAACAAGGACCTACTGTATAGCCCAAGAAACTCTACCCAATATTCTGTAATAATGTATATGAGAAAAGAATCTAAAAGAGAATGTGTATATGTATAACTGAATCACTTGGCTGTATGTCTGAAACTAACACAACATTGTTAAGTCAGCTATACTCCATTAAGATTACAATTATTTTTTACAAGTCCCTTTCAAATGTCAAAAAAAAATGTATAGAGGGGTTATTTTTTATTTGAACTCTTTCACAGTGAGTTTAATAATCATTTAGTAGAAGTAGTTTAATGTACTCTCTGCTTGTAATTTACTTTCTTCTGTTCTTAAACTTTTTGGTCGTTACTCTGGTTCCCCTCCTCCAAATTATAGCATATCAGCTAATTGCTTTTTTCTCCTTTGATTTTTTTTCCCAGCTCTTTGCCTTCCCACCTAAACATCAGTTATGAGGACTTTTTCTCTGCCCTTCGTCAGTATGCAGCCTGTGAGCAGCGTCTGGGGAAATAGTGATTTCGCTGGCCGCGTGATCTGATTTCAGGCTTCTAGAGAAAAGGACTCAGTGACTCTGATGTTTACAAAGGACCTATGAAACCCTGTACACACCTAGTTCATAATCCTCATAATTTATCATCAAACACAAAAAAGTGTCTTACTTGAGAGTAAGAGTACGTGTGAGCGAGTGTGTGCGCGCGCGCGTGTGTGTGTGTGTGTGTGAATAAACTTATAAATGAGGAAGTAGCGGAGAAGGACACATGGTGAACTTGCACCTTTGAGCAGATTGCAGCAATGTTTTAGGAGCTGAAATTTCAGATTTAAAGGCTTCAGCCCTAACTACTTCCCTGTTTTTGTGGGGAGAGAATGGGGCGATTAAAGCTATTTTGTTGTCTAGGGGGGTGGGGGAGTAATTTTTGTTCAGTCTTTCCAAGTGACCAAACTTTAAGTTTTAAGAATAATATATTGACACATGAAATGGAAGCATTCTGAGTTTGAGGGATGGAGTTCCGTGTTGTTCACATGCTAAAAGTTTGCTCACCTTTGGAGCAGAGGGAATACCTGTTTTCAGACATCCGTCCATTTTCATCTCTTCATTATTATCAATGTGACTTGAAAATGTTGCTCTGTTGTCTGTGTTCTGGGTTGTGAAGATCATTTGAAAACGAACTCTTACATTGGAATACAGAATTTAAAAAATTTTTAATATTTTATTAGACAGTCAAAAAAAAAGGTAAAAGTCATAATCTGAAAAGTAAAGGTGGAAAATTTCCCAAATAAGGCGAGAAAATTTTGATTTCCTTTTCCATTTGGTGGGCAGTTTGTGAGATAGTACCCAGAGTTGGTTTAAAAAGTATTTCCATTAACTATGTTTATTTAAAATAAGCATTTGAGGGAAGTTACCAAGGCAGCTCTTTTCCTCAAAAGTAACCTGTTCCTCTTTGGAATAGCACATGTAGGGCCATGTTAGCACCCAGGATTTTTACTGAGTAAATCCTGATGGTGACTTTGCATTGAAAGATCTTTAAGTGAGATTGAGGCCTGTGTAGGTAATAAAATATTACCACAGTCTACAGAAGTAATTTAATTTTGCATGTTCTCTTTCATGCAGAGAACAGCACTGGTTTTGTTATTTTTTAAATGAATAGATGATTTTTTGATAAGTGTTTAGTAGTTCTCCCCTCTGTGCTGATACCTGGACAGAAACCATTCTTTATATGTTTGATGGATTGTTTTCAGAAGAATCTTATCAACAGCAAGTGCACAACAGTTATCCAAAATATGTTTAGAATGGAGTAGTTTTAAATACTAGGTCTCAGTCTGAAAAATAGCAGAGAGCACTGGATTTGGAAAGCAAGGTCTGGAATTGCTTGTCAAATTCTGAGTCTATGAAGAATAAATGTTTTGACTTTGGATTCCAAAACTCCATTTATGATTTTAAAAATACACTTGAAATAAAATGATTATAAACTAAATTTTGGTTCAGTGACATTACTTTGCACATTATAGTTCTTTGTACATTGTGAGACTTTTTTTTTTCAAGTCTTAATTTATTGCTAAAAGCTTTGTGTGATGCGACATCATATCCCTAAACTTTACCAGAGAATTTTTTTATTTCTGTCCCCCTGTACTGTCATCCGTGTGCTATTGAGGCTTTTTGGCTTTAGTTGAAGACTGAATTTATGCCTTTTATATATGTGTCTTTTTTAAACATTCTGGAATATATATGCTTTTATGAATTAAATTTAATGCCCAGTTGAAGTGAAGGGATTTCATATTTGTTGAAGTGAAGTTAGTCAAATAAATTACCCACTGGGATATAGCCAAAGCCCTACAGGTTTAACACTTGAGTTTTTATATTTTTATTTTGTCCTTATATTTCATAGCAGTGTAGTGTTACCTATCAGAGTAAGTCTATAATCTGACGTGAGTCTGTTTTTGTCCTCGATAGGAAGAAACCCCTTAAAACAAGCTGCTAAGGATTCTGATTTCAGATCAGGCATTCCAGTTTCTTTCCATGAGGTTAACTGCCAGTACAGTCTCCACAATTTGAATGACATCAATCATTCTATAATTCCTGCCAAAATCACCTACTGGTTATGCATTATCAGGGCTCTCTTTGCACTCCCAAGAAGAACTGAAAACTTTAAAGTGTTGTTTGTCTTTATGTGTTTTGAAGAATATCATCTTTATATTGTTTCTTCTAGACACTCTCCACAATGGAAAAATTACCAAATTAAGCCTACTTTACGATGGCAGCTTGGAGCCTAGAAAGAGGTTGAGGGTTTGAATTCTATTCCCAATTAGATTGTATTTTGTTTCTTAACACTGATTATTGTTAGAAAGTTTGAAAGCTGGTTTTGATGTGAATAGCAAATTCTGATATATTGTGACTAAGGCTGAATAGTGCCTGTCTTAAGAGAGGAATGTGTTATAATGTTGATGAACAGTGCCAAATACACTGTGCACATCTACAAGTTAGTCTTTGAATGTATGTTACTGGATTAGCCCCCTCCTCTTCCTGTGTGATGGTACCATGCGTAGAGTCAAATCCTTGTGATGTTTTGTATGGCATAGACTTTGGCAACATGTAAATAATGTGTAAAGTTTTTATGATTAAGGAATCAAATTTATTGAATTTTATTATTGAAGGTTGAAACGACATGTATGAACAAAAACAATAAAAGAATATACTCTTTTCATGGACTATAGTATTATGTGAATGCTACATTTATTCTAAACGTGTAGGGACTGCAGAAATGTAATGAGAAACTCATATGACAGGATAGCAATACTGTTTTTTTAGATGGTGTGTTCTTGATTGAAGTATGTTCTTATTTTTACCAGACTAAACATTTGGAATCTTAAAATGTTAATTTGCTTTTTGCTAGGTAAAAGTAAGGTGAAATTGAGCTTTGCTATTGCTAAAATTGTCAAAATTCCAGAATAAATAAAATCTGAATAGTTTTTTTTTAACTGAATATGGAATGCCAAATTGAAAATGTATATGTATACTCTTTTAGAAAGGAATTTGACAGTTCTCGTCAAACCAGAAAATAGAAGGGAAAGAGCTATAGTTTTTCTTACGTTGCATAGAGTATTCACTTTCTAACTTGAGAATCTAATTGTAAGGTAGTTGGCTTTTTATGCATAATTTTCATCTGAAATCAAGTTTCTCAAAAGTCGCCTTTTAACTTTAGTAAATAGGAAGTGCGGTTAACAAAAGCTAGTGTAGGGGAAGTTCAAAAAAGTTTGAAATAAAACCCAGGAAATAAGGATGCTGTCAACAGTTGTTCAGGAATCCTAGTTGATAGGCCATACACTTGATAAAATTGGTGGAAAAGGGAAGTGCAAAAAGAATTTGCTTGCAACTTTAAAAAAATGCATTCACTGTAAAAAAAAAAAAATAGAGAATTCAGAGAAGCAAATGTAAAGGAAAAAACTTCTAATACCATCATTCATTGATTACATTTTTGGTGACAATCCTAGAATTTTTTGGTATTTATATTTAAATGGATCTTACTGTAACAGGTTTAATAAATTCCTTTTAAACTTCAAACCCCAAATTGAGTGTTGCATTCTGTTTTGTGTTTTGCTCTTGTGTCTGGATATAAACAGTTACATCACATGAAAATAAAATGTTTGAAAAAATTATAGTCCACATTGAGTTGTCCTTAATGAGTACTTAGCCTTGGTCCAAAATCTTCAAGAAAGTTGATACTCATTTTTCTTCCCTCTATCTTCTAGAGATTCAAGTACTATGAATTAAGCATCTGGATTTAGCATCCAGATGATGCAAAAAAAGGTAAAAACTATATGTACTCCTAGGTCAAACTATTTGGCTTATCTGCTATTGACCATTTTTATACTTTTCTTCATTAGCACTAATAATTTAACTTGCCCTTATAAGGACAGGGAAAAAAGTATGCCTCAGGGAAGGAAAACCTGACCAAAATGATGAAATCAGAATGATATCTAAGTGTCAACATAATATTTTTACTTGTATAAAATATTTATTTCCTTTCTGATGATTGATTTCAACTACTAAATCTTTTATAAATTGGTCCGTGAACCATTCCTTTATTTTGATTAAGTATATTTTGCCATGTCATTCCCCAGTAACAGCCATATGTAACAACTGCTTAAAGATACTTGTACAGAATTCACTAGAGAAGTAATGGGTAATGGTAATAGTAACCAACTGTTTTCCCCAGAGAGGAACCTATATTTTAATTAGGTTTCAGATAATTAGAAAATGGGACATCAAAATGTGGAAGTTGACTCAACTAGAGATATTTGACAGCATCTACCGAATGTAGTTGTTTACTCCAGCTGGAGTGGTTATGCCCACTGCTGGACATGACAATGTCTGGAGGCAGTTTTATTTGTCACAGCTGGGGGAGGAGAGGAGTACTCCTGGTATCTTAGGAGAAGAGCCCAAGGCTGCTGCTGGCAGTGCTACAATGCATCTAACAGCTTTCAAAACAAACAACTGTCCTGCCTCAAATGTCAGTAGTGCTGAGGCTCAGAACCTTTGAGGAGGGTTGCCTGAAAGATGCTGTACATAATTGTGGGGGAAAAATACAATTTGTTTAGATTTGAATCCATAGAGCATAGTTTAGAGATGAAATATTTGTATGCATATTATATGATGATATATTAACTTTCCCACTCATGAGTTCTATTCAATATTTTTACATTTATCTTTGACATTTTGAGATACCTACCAGTTTTCCAAAGCTTGTCAGCTTTTGTCTAAATTTGAAAGAAAGTCATGTTTTTTGAAAGATGGTATTATACACAGGTATGATATTGTAAGAAATCTAATGCTTCAAACTACTCACTGTATAAACAAGTTAGCAATTTCTTTCATGCATCCTGTAGGTAATTTATCTCCATAACCATTTATATTGTTCTTAAAAATTATATGTATTTTTAAGCTTTTTATTTTGTATTGGGGTCTAGCCAGTTAACCATGTGATAACTTCAGGTGAACAGCAAAGGGACTCAGCCAT